TTATTCTCTTGGCAGCTTAGAACGTCCCTTGTCTATAATTTACCTGGAATGGTATACTTTGTGACAGATTCCAACCTTGAGAAAAAGGGTTTAAACAGCTCGAATTCTTGCAATATTTCCAGCATGACGAAGTGAAGAATTTTGTTAACTCCAGATCGCTAGCACCTGTTCCCACTAACTCAAATTCTTCTCAAGTTTGAAAAGTGTTAACTGAACAACGGACATTTTGAAATTATTCCTTAGAGAAGGGTTCTTCAAGCTCTTTTTCGACTCACAGAGAATCCTTAGAACTTTAAGGTGTTTTCGTGGAACCCCACATTCCACACACACATTTAAAAGAATATGTCTTAAAAAATAATACTTAAAGTAGAATCATGTTATAAACACTTTACGTAAAGATAACTTTAAAAAAGTGTTGAATTTGTCATCAAGAATTTTAAAATCTATTCTAATATAATTTACTCAGTAATTACCAGGGCGTAGCTACCGCCGTATCAATGATACGGGACCAATACATTACAGGGGTCCAACATATGCAAGGAAAAAAAAGTGAAAATTTAAAGGAGCCTCCAAGAATTTTCTGATATAGGGCCCACTTAGGACCAGCTATGCTAGTGTTAATGACACTAATTTGAAATCCAAGTGTAACCTATTCGTGCATTGAGTTTGTGCGGATTAACAACACGGAGATCCCTAGGCAGTTAAATTCTCGGGACCATGTAGCCTAATAATTTTAATACTCAACATCTTAGGAATATATTTCATTTCACAAATAAAACAACAAATTATCAGCAAAAAAATTCAAATAAACAATAATTGTTTATTAGAATCTGTAATAAAAAAATAGTAATTGCAATAAAAAATAACTATAATATTTTATTTCCTCTTCTATGGGCCCCTAAAAAGCGTGGAGCCCACAGGCAATTGTCTACTTCGACTAATGAATAATTAGATACTGGTAACTGGGATATTTAATTGCATTTTGTTTTACAGAAACTGTCGATGTCTAGATGTATTGAAATTATTTGCAGTTGCATTTCATATATTCTGCGTTTCATTTATTTTTATATTTTGTTTTTGTAGCAACTCACGTCGAGGAATATTTTTCACTGATATTCTTCTAGCTATTCCGTATAATGTTTATAACTGAGAGAAATCCTGTGTAGTATGCTTGAATTTGCAACCTAAAATTTATTAGCTGTTCTTGCTTCCATTTATATTTTAACGTTAAATCTGCTCATATGTCAATAAATTATTTTCTCACTTTCGTTATAAGTGGGTTTTTTTCTCACAAATGAAAAAGAGATGCATTTTCTATATAAAAAAAAATGTTTAGTTTTGCAAAGCATTATACCAACGAGTATAAAATTATTTCATGGAACTCCGGATCGTAAATAATGGAATAGTAACAATGTACATAAGAAAAAGTACATAAGAAAAAAGAATATTAATATTGTTATATTTTCATAAAAGCTAAAATAAAGTATAAATGAAAAATATTTAGTGTTAATTTATTAATTGTGTGTGGGAGGGATGAGGAAACAATGCTATTTTATAATAGTGTAGAAAAATAACTAATATTTTTTTTATGGATATATTATGTCTTAAGATGTGAAATAAGAAATTTCTTTTGTGGCACGTAATTATTGTAGAATTTAAATTTTTAGAATTCCTTTTTATCAATTAATATTTGTATTATAGTGTTTTATTAATGCAACGAATTATATCGAGAAAAATGTCTGTGAATTATTAAGAATGATATATCGAATTTTAACGTGCGAACATAAAGCTAAATTTATAACAGCTGTATATTTTCATAGTAACACAAATTTAAAGGAATTTTTTTCTAGACATTTCTCGCGGAACTAAGCCTTTTGTTAGAGCAGCGTACTTGACGCACAATTTGTTATCAAGAAATGAAAATATAAATACAAATTTTAGATTTAAGTACTTCATAAAAAAATAGATTTTGTAAAAGTGTGAGAAATAAAATAGTTTAGTCTTTATTTCATAAATATACTAATAAATTTTAATATCCTGAAAAAAAATGCCTACTTTATGCTGCAGTTTTCATCACTTATTTCATGTACTCCAGAAATAAGAAAGTACGTCTTCCAGAACAGGAAAATGTGTGAAAATATTTTGATGAAAAATAAATCAAAGTTTTGATTAATATTGTTCTTGTTTTTGTATAAAATCATGAATTGACAGGGTTCGTGTGTCATTTGAAGGAAAAAAATGGCGCAAAATGAGAAAAATGATGTCCTTTCCTTAATAAGAACTCGTGCACGTTTCACATCTGATAGTATCATACCATAAAATAAGGAAGGGAAAAAAGGATAATAAATAAACACCGTCACCGATGTCTTATATTTTTTTTTAATTATTTTATCTATAAGAAAATCTGAATTAAATTACATATTCCTTTTTATTTCTTTCCAAAATGCTGTTTTTGTAATAGATATCTACTGTAATATTAAAATATTTGTAATCTACAATTTATTTTTTCACAGATACAGTAAGAATTTATCTGCTTTATATTAGCTTGGCGCGTATGATTATATTTAAGTGACTATTTAAAACTGCATGTCTTTTTGTTCCTAGGCTGTTTATTTAATCAAAATAAGCTCAATTTGCTTCAATACACCTTTTCCCAAGAGATATTAATGCATAAATGCCAGTCTTAATTAAATTCTGATCTTAAGAATCAATAAACTCTAATATGGAATTTTTCAGAATGTCTTGATTTTCATACTGTTTATCCCCATCATTTTTGTCCCGAAAAAATAGCTAATGTCAAAATTTAAGTGTCTTATTTTATTTATATGTTAATGTGTGAAGACCTTAGAAAACGCTTTGACTATTTATTTTAAGAGAACAGTGTATATAATTAATTTTACAGTCGAATATCTTTAATTAATTAATTAGCTCTAACGGATTAAATTTCCCAAAGTTGAGTGTTTTGTTTATGTATATCCCTTAATTTTCGATGTAGTGATTAAAAAAAAAATATATTGCGTGAAAAAAAACTGCAGTATATCATAATGCGGTAGATAAAGCATGTTGCGGTCTGCGTGAAATAGTTGCCCTATGTAAGTGTCCCAGGCGTAGTAAAAAAAAAGTTTCAGCACCCCCTGGGTTAAAGAAAATCTGACATTTCACATGCAACAATCTAGTAATATCAGAGGGATAATGCAATAAGGGTTACTCTTTACCATCCTGATATTGTACGATATTTACCTTTCTTTTTTTAACACAATTTGCTTTTAGTAGAAGCATGTGTTTTGGTGTTTGCCTTCGGTTTTTGAATAATGGGCCAACACTCGAAGTGATCCAATTGTGCTCAATGGGCAGCTCGACAGGTTTCGCGCGTGGTGTTCTTTTCACAGACACGTGATCCCTACACGCGCTGTTTCAAAAGGGCTGAGCAGCCTTTTATGAAGGCCTTCGAATTGATAATTTCCCCTCACCACCAAGTAACTTGTTGATGCTATTAACTTCCAATCAGATGCCAGAGAGGCAGTTGCAATGGATATACCAGATCAAAAGAAAGGTCTCCGTTTCTTTACAAAAGTAAAAAGGCACACACAGAGTGCTTTCAGAGAGATCCATAAGAATAACCCACCACCGATATCAAAAAATTGTCTAACTCTTCTTTGCGAGAGAACCCCCCTCCCTCAAAATAGAATTTATTTTTTTGGCCTGGGCCCTTATTTCTTTTGATATTTTTCCACAGAACATTACTATGGGGGTATGCTCGCCTTCAATAGCATTTTCTCTGTTAGCTTTCCCTCCCTTGGCAAAGACCTCATTTCGTTCTATCCCTGCACGGTATTTAAAAGCGGGAGATTTTAGAAGACGTGAGGGAGAGGGGAAGAGAAAAATCGTTTGCATCCCCCCCCCCCTTGTCATGTCTCCTTTTTGGTGACCCTCACTAAGGTGACGAATTCTTCTACGGCTTTGCACACCTGGGCATTCGACAGAAGAGGGGGGACAGAAAGGTGGGGATGACACTGTGAGAACGTTGGAAGGGGCCTCGTTCTATTATTCTCGACCATCCCCTTTTACCCCCCGAGCCTACCCTCTCGATTTTTCCCCGGGCCCACATGCGTGCAGATGTTGGTTCTGGTGATTGCGATTTTGAAGAGTTTGTACCGTGCGGATATTCGGTGACAAACAAACACGGGCCACTGTTCGGGTCGGGAGATGCAAAGGTCTCGATTTGATGTCGATATGGAATCCTGCTTTTCTAAAAGCGGGATTAAGTTTCAATGAGCTGATGAAATCGACTCGCTGTATTGAGTGGGCTCTTAAATAGCAACAGCTACCAGTTCTCGACACAAAAAGATCGAATCTCTTTATTTAGGAAAGAAAGGGTTTGAAAGCGAGAGCACAAATATTCTCAATTTGGTTTAAAAGTAGATGAGAATCGCGTATTGTGTCCATTTACATTCTAAAAATAATGTTACCGGTTATTGATAAAAAAAAAATTCCGAACTTGTCATGGATATATACTTTTAACGACTGCAAGAAATTGTCACTTGTCAAATAATAATAATATTGATTGTTTTTTTAAAAAAAGATGTTTTTAAAAAAAAAATGATAAATGGGGGGTATTAGGGAACAGTCGGGTAATATGGAATAGGTGGTTTAAACCATTGGGAAACTAACTAAGACTTCCTAAAACGTAGTTATTTTTAGCTCTGAATGCCATATTTTTAAGAAAACCTGAATTTCCTTTCTGTTCTTCAATTCTTACTATGAGTTCACACTTTATATATATATATATCTTGTTCAAATTTTCAATCGTTATTAAAATACTTTTTATTCATCCACTCAAGTTCAAATACATTTTTTGAAACTTGTAGTGGATGATACTTGATGTTAATACAGCTTTTTTCAAATATTAATACATTAATTTTACTTAACTAATGAATAAATAGTAGCAAATAAAAATAATAGTCCAACACCATATACAGAAAAGGAAATTCGCTTGTTGTGTCCCTGCAGCGCAATAGATAGTGCGTTGGACATTTTATCCAAAGGGCGTGGATTCGAATTCCACTTGGGAAGGCCTAATTTCTAAGAATGTGATTTCTTTTTTCTATACTATTTTATTGGAATAATTGAATTTTAATGAATGAATTAATAGTAACAAACAAAATAATAGTCCAACATCCTATATAGAGAAGAAAAGGGAAGATTGCAGGGAAACAAGCTTTCTATTTTGCCACTTAATATTGGGATTCTGTCATATTTATATCAATTATAATTATTTTGTTAAAAGTAAATATAAAATAAAAATTTTCTTTGTCGCCCTAAGTAGGAATAGGCCTATTTTTTTTATATTACTTGTTTATTAATAAAGGTACAGTCCAGGTGATCTTACAGAAAACAGTTGAAGCAGTGAAACCAAATTTTCCCTCGTTGATTTTCGAAGAATTTCATGTTACATAAAAATCGGAATTGAACCGAAAACCGGAATTTAACCGATATTTTTTGTTTATTTATTTATTTGTTTGTTTTTTAGTTAAACCGGGACTAAAACACAAACAAAAGCAATTGCAGCTCGAAGTCCTGGTTTGGCTTACCTTTTTTATGCCAAAATAGCAGCGAAATAATGTTTTTAAATCAGTACTTCTCAAACTTTCAATATTTGTGACTCACTTTTCAATCATAATTTTTATCGACCCCCCCCCTATTCCTACAATAACAAAATATTGAATGCATTAATAATGTACTTTGACGCTAAAACTACATACGACTTTGATTATAAACCAGGCAAATTATTAAGATAAGTATTAAATTTAGTATATAATTTTGCATATATGACAATCCCTTGGGAGTCACTAGTAATTATTAAATTTGTTCTTAACTTAGTATTGATAAATTAATTATTAAGTACATTGTGCAGTACTGATACATGTGTAAATGTGTATTTTATTTTTTATTATTTCAGAATGAATTTTTTTAGCTTCCTTTCAGAAATTAATAATATTTTGAAATAATCTTTTCATTTCGATTTTTTGATAGGATCACACCCCCACCCTCCTCCTCCCAGCAGAGTCCCTCTAGAGGGGCGCGCCCCACAGTTTGAGAAACGCTGTTTCTTATATAGTTATATTTTTAAGAGAGAGAGAGATTATCATCCCTATAAATAGGGAATCCCTCTTTAAAAAGCAATTTATTCAAAAACATCTGATATATAAAAGAAGAACGAAACACGTGGATAGCATCCGTTATTTGAATATTTCTTTTCACACATTATACCCAAACATACTTTCTCTTTTTCTTTTTTCAAAAAAAAACTCTACCCTGTGAATTAAATAGAAGAGGACAATACAAAAGGGAATCGAGCAAAAGAAGCATTCGGTATCACCCACAAAAGGACTCTACATGTTACTGATGGATATTGTTGGTATGCTGTAATTCAGTGCTACTACAAAGAGAACGATTTCACGCTAGTACCATGTGAATGGGTCCCTTTGCTAAAAGGCGCATTTGTGTATCTGAAGGCGGCGATTCTTTCTTGCGGGCACAAAGCTGACCACTGTTTGAGATTATGGTTCATAAAAGTCATACAAGTTGCTTTCAAGATCACTAGTGTTAAGCCTTTTATGCTGATAAACCGGTTATTAGTGCACTTTCTCCTTTCAAAGAATTTGTGTGCAGGGATATATTTATTATGAGGTGGATTGGTTCCACTTTATCAGTGGCTTTTGATATATATCACAGGTTTTCTTTAAATTATTCTATCAAGTGGTCTTCAAACTTTACAGACTGACGGTACCCTTAGAACCAGTGGCGCACATAAGGGGGACTCCTACGGGTCCAGACCCCCCAAAGCCCTTGATTTTTTTTTCTGATTGATTATAATTCTAAGTATATAGTATGTAAAATTTAATTAAATATGTTTTATTAATGATTTATTTTATTAATTAATGCTAATAAGTTATTCAATAATTAGTTTTTTACTGTTTTTTGTTCCCGAAAATCGACAAAATCAAAAGAAGCGTGATACATAAATGGTGGACTTTCGACCCTGGACCCCCCCTTGAATTCCTGTGTGCGCTACTGCTTAGAACTAAAAGGTGTTTGGCTGGAATCCCATTCCAATACACAGAACAATATACCTTATTTACTCGAATCTAAGCCCCACTTTTTTTTCCAGTGTTAACCCTACTGAAAACTGGGTGCGACTTAGAATTGGAGGAAAAAAATATTCGTTGGAGGGGGCAATTTGAACAATAACAGGTTCATGTATGCATTTAAAAGTTTATTATATTCTGGTAACGCAATTAATTATTCCCTTCTTATTAGTTCTCATTTTAAATTTATTTTATTTGGATATTATATAAATTGGATACCGATAAACCATTTTACACTATCTTTCATTTTTCACAAAAAAACTTGCTGAGAATTAGGGGTCCGGCTTCGAATCGATGGCGGTTTTTTAAAAATTATTCTGAAATTTTGGAACACTAATATATATAGTTTCTTCATGATAGAAATATATTTGTTTAATTTCACCTTTAAAAGTATTCCTAATTTAAATGTTCCAATACAGAAAAATGACCTATTGTATATAAATAAATTTCTTCCTATTCTATGAGAAGAAATTCGTGTTACTTTAATCAATCATCTCTACCTTTTATTCGAGTAATAACTTACAATTTTTTTCTTTAATTATCAGAATTTTTAAAAAAATATCTGAGAATTCATGTCAGCGAAAATACATGGACATTATTTCCAAATATGTACACTTTGATTTTTGGACAGTCAAAATATAAATACACAAATGAAGTAAAAGAATTTATTAGTGAAAATGACCCTAAATTTACGATGTCCTTCATTGTTAAAACTATTTCTTATTAAAATAATCATCTAAATTTATAAAGCACTTTTTGGTAAGTAATCGAAATACTAATTGCCAAATTCTCAGTAAACGAAGAAATGTACTCTGTGCAACAAAATTCCTTTCAAGTTTGCTTGTTGTCAGTTTTTGAAGAAGATTTCAAATATAACCTCCCACCGACGTCTATGTGTCGAGGGGTGGGTTGAGCCCTACCCCAAAGTCGTAGATTCTATGATATGCACTATCATGGGAAAAAGATACGATAAATGAGGGTTGTAAAAGTTTTCTTTTCAATGGACATGATGGATAGTAACTACCAGGCATCTTATAGGAAATAGTTTCTTTTGAGGAATTTGGGCATTCTCATTATAACAGTGGTCTACAACCCACGGACCGGTACCGGTCCGTAGATCAAATACTAACGGTCCGTATAAAAAACATTAAATTATTTCCATTTTATTTACTGCGGCATATTTTTCTTGGGTTTGGACTACTTTTTGTGAAAATCACTTTATATTCCTTGTTAAATCACTTTCTGCTCTTTTTCGGTGTTGCTATATTTTATTCTGAAGGCACGTTTAAGTACAAAATTAAAATAAAATTATTAAAACAAAACAATCTAAAATATAAACAATCAACGTCATCCCCCTCAGCGGGCCGCGGTAAAATAATCCAACATTGACCGGTCCGCGGCGATAAATAGGTTGGGAAACACTGCGTTATAAGCCTATCTTGATTGTAAACAATATTAAAATCTATTGTGTAGGTATTTTATAATACTGTTGGCTAAAATTAGACTTTTATATAGCCAGCCAAAACTGAAAATTTAAATTTTACATATAGAAGTCGTGTTTATCTCGGTTATATAAAAAAGAAATAAGACTGATTCTTCATTAAAATATAAAACAATATCATAAATAAACGCTTTGTTATCTAAATTATCTGCATTGCTATGTCGTGTGCTCACCTAAAAAAGCCTACAAAGAATTAACCACTTAACTATGAGATTATAACGAGTCTACTCGTTATGGAGAAGTTGCAGGATTTTGTGTATTGACGAGTATAATCGTCACGCGCAAAAAGTAGTGACCATTGGCTTTATAAATTGTAATTTTTGAGAAAAACAAAACATACTCTCAAATTTCAAGATGTTTAGAATACTCTGAGACCAGGCCCGAATAAAGCAAACAAATAAAATACAGTTGAACCTCTGTATTACGAATTTTTCTATAGAGCGAACTTTTAACCTGGAAAATTGAACGTTTCACGATTTTCTTCGTAAAATAACTTCTCTATAGCGAAGTGCATTTTCTATACAACGAACTTTTTCTTTTGGGATTCAGTTTTCTTACTCCCTGTTTTTAAAGTATTTCTGAACATTTCAAGTTATTCTCTCTTTAACACATTTTATGGTGGTCATAAATCTTGAACTGGTTTTATTAGATCCTAACTCACCGAGAGCAATAGAATTCTGGACGTTTCATCCATCACGTGCAACCTTTAACCCCCATTGTCCAGTTCACTAGAAACATCTCGATATCCTCTTTCACACTCAGTTGAGCTGTCCCGTGTTCTAGTTGTAAAATAATGTATGTTTAATATTACTGGCATGCTTTAAATTAGAAAATGTCCTTAAAATTCATTCATTTTAGAATAAAATTATTTTCTTAATATTGAAAATACAGTGAATTCTTCGACATTCTTTTTTCTTGTTTTCCTTACATTTTTCTTTCTTTCTTTCTTTTTTGATGGGTAAGATATATAAAATAAACATATATTAATTTTTTAAAAAAAAGGTGTGAATAATTACTTTTTTAATATATAGTGTTTATGAATTTAAAATTTGTTTTATGTGGTTTATATATACAGTATATTAAAAGATGAACCTCTATATAACAAATTTT